TCAGTTAAACACTCTACACTACCAAGACCCACCTACTCCAGGGACCATGCCCTTCGCCCCCATCCTGACCCTCCCCCCAGCCCCACCCAGAACTCCACTTGTTTACAGGAACTGGGGCAGGATGCTAATAACCTCAGGACCTTACCAGATCAGACATCCCCATGATGGCAGTGGAGTGGAGTGCAAAAAATAAGCGCAAAAAGACCCATGTCAAAGCTGTCTAGTACAAAAGAAATCATCTGTTTGAACCACTGGAGCCCTATTCCAGGCCTGTGAAAGCAGCTTTTCCTCCCCAAAAAGAATCCTATAGCCTGAGGCTCGGGCATAAGCTGCCCTCTGAGTGAGAGTTCACCAGCCTTCTCCATTGCTTCATCAACAAGGAAAGTTTCTGCTGCTTCTGCCTGATTCAGTTTGTTTTATGGAAGCAAACTATTCGAAGTAGGGACAGAACCAGACAGGGGCTTGGACCCAAAGACTGGTGACACCCTCACTTATAGACATGGGCTGTAAGTTGCAGGTGAGGACCAGAACCTGACAGTCTCCTAAAAGCCCTGCTGGCCACCTCCATGCTTGGCATGCTGATATTCAACGTGGGAAGATTGAAGTGTTCATGCCCATTTAATGTGTGTGCTCAGGTGGCCTTGAACTGCCACTATCATCATTTCCCTGGTGAGGCGCAGAAGCCTCACCCACTTGCCCTGGGCCATACTTCTCAGCCCAGCTGCCCTGACTTCTCTCCCAACTCCCCTTTCCTCATTCATGATCACAGGTGACACTCTGTAGCTGTCTGCGTCTTAACTGCCTTAGCTGTGAAAAGGGCAGACACATCACATGCCCCAGGGAGTCAGTGAAGATTTGGAATGGGCTAATGCCCTGCAGGGACACAGAAGAAGGCCCAGCAAGTAGTCAGGCCCTGCTAGCTTTTAGCTAGTCTGGTATCTATGTAATCTGACAACCAACTTCCTTGAAAACAGCTGCAATTCTCATAAAATATAATTAGTGAGCAGAGCCCATTGAAAAAAGGAGTAAAGTTGGAGCCACATCAAAACCCCCTGACTTTGGATTTTGGTTTTAGTTTTTGGTATTGATTTGATGTCTGAACAAAATACTTTCCACGTTTTGTTTTGTTTTGTTTTGTTTTGTTTTTTCATTTTAAAAATGGCTAGAATGCTTTCGGCCATGTTTACATTCTTCTAGAGGCTGCTTAATTTTCAAAGGTTATCACTGAAATGTGTTTGATGGTGGCTCTCATATGATGGAGCACACAGGGTTTGGGGCAGAGTCCTGGGTGTGTCCTACCCCAGCCCCTCTACACTTTGACTGTGAGTGCCTCGATTTGCTGCCTTAGAGAAGAATGATAACCCCTGTCTGGTCGATATTCAGGTGAGAACTCCCTGAGGTAGGGGATATAATCAGCTGAGTAGGGGATCCCAGTTAAATACCTTCAGAAATTTTTTGTGAAGAAAGTGTTACAGGGCAGAGAGAGATGGGCACCCCTGAGCCCCCAAACCTACCTACTCTGAATAGGTTCTGCCATCCACCACATCAAGACGAGACATGTAAGACCTTTAATGGAAAAGAACTTTAATACAATTAATGTGCAATACAGAAAAGACAAAGAATATAGCTTCTAAATCAAACACCCATCCCCTCATAGGTAAAAGTCTACCCAGAAGGGATTGGCCCAAAGCAAGGCCTAAAAACCTACCACAAGTCTAAAGCACCCATGAAAAACATATTTTTATATATATATATGAAAATTTTCCTTTAAACTCCCATCATTGCAAATACCCTCAATCCTTTCATCAGCTAGTACACATCTCTCAGAAGTGAGTGTGTCTGTGAGAGTGAGATTTCTCTTCTTTCCCTACTACCCATGCCAAAATGTTCTTCAGTAGTCACTGTGTATCCGAAACCAGGCCATACAGAATATTCCAGCGAAAAATTAAGCATTGCTTCATATTTTACCAGTCATTCTTAAGTCAGGCATCCATTTAAAAATGTATAAATGGTTGCTCTTAAATAAAAATTTGCATCATCATGATTTTAATAATTTCTATTACCAGAGAAGATTCCCTTACTCAATGGAATTGGTGCTTTGGACAGGAATCTCTATGTCATTATGAGGAAGATGAGGAAGGACCCTTTTGCTCAGATCCTACACATGAGAGACATCATAGTTTCAAAACCCCTCTCTCCTTGGGGAGCACTTTTGTGGTTTGGGTCTCTCTTTTTTTTTCTTAAGATTTATTTATGCATATAAAACTGGGGTATTGGCCAGAGGTGCAGGGCGGTGAGAGGCTTCACCAGAGACAGAGTGGGGAGCAGAACAGACCGACTGACAAAGTACACTGTTGAGGGGAGCAGCGGGCTGGTCGGGAGAGGTCTGCCGCATCCTGTGGGTCATCTCCAGGGCGGGGATTGAACTCATACTAAAGTGGCTTTAGCTTCTCAGTACTGTGCTTGAACCTGCTGCGCCACCAGGGAAGGCCCAGGTTTGGGTCTCTTTTGAAAAATATTTGACAAATATTGAACCCCTGAAATTGGTGCAATTGGGGGAAAAAATCAGGAAAAAAAATGAAAATGCCATCCTTACTCTCAGAGGGCTTATATTCCAAGTGAGAATATAAGATATATAGATACAAATGATTTACAAGGGTCAAGACTCCCTTTTACAGTGGTGGGAGTCAAAGGGGTACCATCAGGCTCGATCAACTTGTTATCGCTGACCTTCAGTCTTGAATGTTTTCTCTGTTGGCTTTTTCTGTGTTTTATAATCTGTAACATTTTCCCTGAAATTTTTATCACAAAGATGTGGCTCAGATCTGGCTTAGATTGTTCATCATTGTCCCCATCTGTAAATCAGGTGACTATCAAAATTATGTAAATCCTCCATAGCAACCAAATGGAAGATTATAATCAAATAAGTATCTGCTTGTCTCTATATTGATAAGGAAATGCAGAGCTCTGAAACACAGTTCTGGAGCTGAGCTCCAGCTGCAGAGCAGTGTTGCCTCTGCAGAGCCAGACCACGCTCCCATTTGGGGGCAGCTCTGGAATTACTTTTTCATTCACTGAGGAAATGCCTCCTTTGAATCCTTCACCCTTGGAAGGATACAGTGGTAAGCAAGATAAAGCCCTTGTTCACTTAGAGCTTCTGCCATAGAGGGCAAGACAAACAGCAAATAGCCATGGAATAAAAATTCAGGTGTTGAAAGCCACGAGGGAAGAAAGTCATTTGTGGGGGATACAAGGTGCTGGGTATAGTGTGTAGATAAGAGTACTTAAAACCTTTAAAAAGCTTTGGGGCGGAAATCCACCTAAAGTAACAGTGGCACCTGACCCAGCGGGGAAGTCACCCTCCAAAAGTGCTTCAGGGCAAATCTGGCAGGAAGGAGATGACACCATTTGGGTCCTCACATGCCCCACTTAACTCAGGAAGAGACCCAAAAGCAGAGACACAGAGACAACAAAAAGAGAAGTGATGTATTTACATGTGGAGTTAGAAAAGGAAGCGCCTAGAGAAAGGGGTCTCCTCTGCCCACCCATAGATGGAGTCAGCTGGGCAGAGACCAAGGTGCAATCAGAAATCACCTTCCCACCCCCCCATGTCTCACCAAAAGGAGTGGCCCTCTGTGCTCAATCTTGCTCAAGTCTACATGGACAAGGTGGCTCCACTTCACTCCTGTTTCCCCCAGGCCCCTCTCAGGGAATTGGGGGGAGTCCAGAAAGCCCCACTTTTTATCATTGAGTGGTCTTTAAGCACCACACAGTGGCTCCAAGTTTTCCCCTCACTCTTCCTCTTACAAAAGTAAAGATAATTTCACATACTCATGAAAGAATAGTAGCCTCATCATTGGGTCTATGTTATATCTCAGACCAATTATTTGACACATACACGAAATCCTATTTTTTTTAATTTTCTTAAAGCTTTAACTCTATTTGAACTTTCAAAGAATCAAGAATGGTAACCTCAAAATACTCCTTGTTGAGTGTTGTCAAGTCTTATGACTATTTCTGGTGAAATAAAATACTGATCTAAGTCATTGGTTTATTTTTCTTGTCGCTCTTAGAAGCTAGGTCTCCTCATTCTATAGATTGGTAGATTGAGGCAAAGGGAAGCTAAGTAATTTGTCCAAACTCATCTGTCCCATGCAGATGATGTCAACTGGACTTGGATTGTCATTCTTTCTTTCCCCACCCCCCAAAAATTTATTGAGTAGTCATTTTGCTGCATTAACCTGTCACAAATTATGTCTATCGATGAAACCAACCTACCCAAAAAGTACTAGTGAATGTGAGATATTACTATGTACTTATGTGATGAGGTGTACAAAGCTTAATACAAGGGGGAGGGGAGAGAGGGCAGCTTGATCGGTGTTATTGGAACTGGATTTGACTTGAGGCTAAAAAATGTTGAATCTAAACTTATTTTTCCACCCTGTTCATATAAGAAGCAGTTGTTGAAACTGGAATGGTTAGCCTGGAGAAGAGAAGACTCAGGGAGGGATTTGATAACTGTCTACAAATATTTGAAGAACTGTCATGTGGAAAAGAAATTAGATTTGTTCTATATGCCCCTGGGTGTGGGAGTGATGGGAAGAGTTCACACAACATAAGGTAGAATTTTCCAGCAAAATCAGGAACACTCAGGTGCTCTCTGAAAACTGATGGGTAGGATCGGAGAGGCAGTAGCCTCCCAGTCTAGTAGGATGCCTTCTGAGTGACATCTTGTACAAGGAAGTTGAGAGGAAGATGGGTGGATGGATTGTGTGGACCTAAAGATCTCTTCTGAAGCAGAGAATGTTATTACTTCATCAGTGATAAATGGAATGTCTATGAATACCAAACTGCTTATGACACTCCTATCCCTTTACAGTGTTTTCTGCTCTTAGAATTTTTGGATATCAAATCTTCAACTCTGCGTGTTACTTCTGGTGCTTAATTGATAATAAATAAGCCTCTCAAGTTGCACTTTATTTCTTGTTTGCTCTTTCTAGGTCTCCAGCCATTCACCAACTACAGCTTCACTCTTACAGCTTGTACATCTGCTGGAAGTGCTTCAAGTGAGCCTTTTCTAGGTCAGACACCACAGGCAGCCCCTCAAGGTAATTAAAAAATACCCATGATCTGGGAGAAGTTTTCATGTGGCATTTAAAAGTGAACTTTATAAGCTCTTTCCTAGCAAACAAGGAGGAAGGAACAAAGTTAACAGGTAAAAATAAAATAGCATTCTAGGTCACCCTCCTTCCAGTTTGGTTACCTCCCAAGGTAAATTGTGCTTTCATTTCTATAAGCCTTTTATAAACTTCGCTTTCTGTAAAAAATAAAAAATAAAAATACATATTTGAATAGAAGATTCCTCAGAAAGATAAGCCTTTAATATTTCTAATATGCCTCATGTATAACAAACACCATGCTCACCTCTGAGATTGACTAAGGTATCTGCCACACCCAAGAATTTGCACTCAAGTAGAAGTGATGGGGCAAGCCCCAAAGCTATCGGAAGAGCATCAGAAATGTGACAATAAAAAAAAAAAAAATGAACAGAATTCTTAGGTTCTTCTGAGGAGAGTAAGATTACCCCATATGGACATTCAAAAAGATGCTACCGGCAGATGCCTTCAGACTGGGCCATAACAATCAAGAGTTTTAACAAAGCAACAGTGGATATGATGTACAGTCACATGCAGCTTGAGGACATGCAGAAATACGTCACCTTGGAGGGAAGGTGAGCAAGGTTGACTACATTTAAAGTGAATTCCCCACATCAAAGAGATTTCATTGCCGTAAAAGGATACTGCCACACTGCCCAAGGAGCCATGTACCAGGATGTTTCCGGAAGCAGGTCTGTGTTTGTTTAATGTCAAATGGAACCAATCGAAGTGTCCAGGGTAGGGGAATCACTGTGTAAGTTCAAGTAGAGCCACATATGGACTTGTATGTAGCCCTTTAAAAGAATGGGATGAGCATACCTCTAAAAAGGAAGTTATAGACCACATGAATGTATAGTAGCTTTAATGTATAAAAACTCCCATAGAAAATGAGACTTATTTCTATATGTAAATATGTAGGAAATTCTGGAAGCATACACACTACTGATAACCATGCTCACCTTTGGGCTGGGAAGTGGTGTGGATGGTATCATATACCTTCAAGTGCTCAGAAGCTTTTATTAATCCTTATTATCTACCTGTTTTCCTTGTGGGGAAACAGAGGCATAAATAAGTTTCTTAAAACAGAAATATAATGTTAATTACCATTGTAGAGTCCTCAACAGTGTGTCCATTACTCCTCTAATGGAAGGTATTGCTGTATCTCGGAATATTAGACCTGAACTTCCTACCAGTAAATGGGGAATAAAATGGAAAATTCCGCATATGGTGCATATGGCTCCTCACCAGGAATTCACTAATGATGTTTTCTATATAAAGAATGTTTCATGTCAAAAAGCATAGTGCTCCTTTGAAAGGAAGAAACCAGCAGTGGATTTTTTGGAAAGGTAAACTATCAAATGGATACTTTGATGATAATGGATAATTTTTAAAGGATCTATCAACCAGGCTTGGCTGAAATTCAGGACTGATAACATAATAGGATCTCTTGTTCTACTTTACTCATTGGATCCATATATTTAAATTCTTAGAAAATATGCAGCTATTTTCCCACTTTTCTCAACAAGATTTCTTGAAAGGGCTCAGTTTTCATGACGTAAAAATTATAGCTTTCAACAGTGCAGAGAGTATGAGATGAGAAATGTTATCTTTGATTTCTTTTTTTAACCTTATGTACCTCTTCTTTAACCCAAATAACTGTGCTGAGGAATAATAAAATAAATGAACTTTTCTCTGTAAAAGAAATATGGATTTAGAAGCCATCTTCTGGCTAGGTAGGTGCCATTTGTGAGCTCTCTGTTACTTGGGCTCACAAGTAATAATATCAAGTCTATTGTTTACTGTAAAGAGAACACAGACAGATGTCATTTTAAATTAGTAGCCCAAATATATCTAGTTCTACAGTGCCTGTTTCCATGAATTGAACACAGTTTGAACATTTAATATTTGAATGTCCTGTGCTAATACAGAGAACATAAGAGAAACCATCCTTTGCTCTTCTTGTTTCTTTCTTGTTTTTAATCTTAAAAAAAAAAAAAGTTCATGCACATTACAACCTCACTGATAAACTGGACATAATTCTCTACAATTTTGTCCTCATAGAAAATTGTGTACCCTTAGTCAAATAGTGGAAAGAGTTTGAATTGGATTACTGCTCTCTCTTAGAACTGGTGCCAAGCTCTAATTCATTTTAGAGTTCAATCATGCAAAATTGCAGGCTGCTTTCCCCAGCATTGATAATGTGGAAAAGAAGACCCAACTTCCTCAGTTTCACTCCAGATTCTGTTCTCTGCTCTGCTTTTAACTGTTGATGCTCTCTTAGATTTTTCTACCACCACCCCCACTTTGTACTTTTAACCCACAGTTTCCCTTGGAGACCTCATGTACTGACTTTAATTCCTAATTCAAGCTGAGAGCAATTTTTACAGCCCCCACAAAGACTGCACTCTTAGATTCAAGACCTCTGTATCCACTGGTCTACTGGGTGTTTATATCTGGGTGTTTTTAAAATAATTCAACCTCTATATTTCAACACTTCAAATCCCCAGCTTGCTTTTCCTCCTCTTACCCTTTCTCAAATATCCACCTCATCACCTAAGCCCTGAAATTGACATTCTCATGGATTCTCTTTTAGTTAGATTATACATAGATTATAGTATCAGTCTTGATAATATCTTATTGATGTTTTAGACAGTAATATTAGTTATAAATGAAAATATTATTTTTATTAATGTTTAATCTTAAGGATTTTTTTAATGTTTCCTACTTTCCTGCTGGTATTACCTGAGTTGAAACCCCTATAATTTCCCTGAATCTTAAATTATCTCCCTACTTCTAGTCATTCTTGCTCTCTCTCAAATCCCCCATCCCAATTCATCTTTCCCTTTTACCAAAGTAGGCACATCTCAAGTCGTCAGTCACCTCCAGAAAATCCTACATCCTTGTAGGAAAGAAAAAAATTGACATCTTAGTAAAGCATAATAGAGCCCTCAAGTTTATTTTTTTAAAGATTTATTTATTTATGCATACAGAACTGGGGTGTAGGCCAGAGGTGCAGGGGCAGTGAGAGGATTCACCAGAAACAGAGTGGGGAGCAGAACAGGCCAACGGACAAGTACCCTGCTGAGGGGAGCAGCGGGCAGGTCAGGAGAGGTCTGCCGCACCATGTAGTTCACCCCCCGGATCAGGGATCAAACTCATGCTGAAGTGGCTTTAGCTTCTTAGTGCTGTGCTTTAACCCACTGCACCATCAGGAAGGGCCCTAGCCCTCAAATTTTTACTGCTGCCCAAGAAGAACTGTCAAGTCTTCAGGTTGTTCCAAGAAACATTTAATGCACTGGCCATAGTGAGGGACTTCCCATTCCAGCAAGCTTCCCCCTAACTCCAGGACTTCAGCCTAGATTTCTGTCCCCTACATCTTCATTCCATGAGCTCCTACTTTTTCAAGACTTAGCTCACAGATTTCCCCTTCTGTGACTCTCCCCTCTGACCACCCCCACTGCCATTCATCTCTCTCTTTCTCCCAGTCTTTGAGAGTTCAAATAGAATACTGTGCTTCCCTTTTCTATGATGAAAATACAGATTCAACAATCCAGCTAAATTTGTTTATATTCATCTTTATCCACCAGGATGCTATGCCATTGATTGGTAAGGACTAGATCTTTGTCCCACATCAACAATACCTAAAACAATTGCATCGAGTGTCACATGAAAAAAATTAACAAATAGTCAGTGGTCCAGAATTTAATGTTGTCCTGACATCCATTAATTCCACCAGCATCCAGGAGAAAGTTAATCATGATAAATGTTGAGGGTTTTTTCCCTATTTGAATAAAGGTATAGAGGGGCATAAGGAATGGGTCATATTACATGACACTCAAGATAAATATAAACACACCAGTACATGGTACCTTTTACTGGGAAGCTATTATTGCAAGAGATCCACTTAGATTTCCTTCTGAACTTCCCCTCTGATACCTTTCCACATGTTTACCTGTTCTTGCTCTACCTCCCAGCCCCCTTCTAGATTACTTCCCCTCAGGACACCTACCGCTTTCCCTTGACCTGCCTCAACTCTGCCCTTTATTATATAAAACAGGTTTTCTGATGCAATCAGTGACAGATTTGGGACAGGGCAGATTCTCCCCCTGGAACATAATTAGGCATCTCACCGATGTTACTCTAGAAAAGATTTCTTGTGGCTACCTTAATAAAAGTGTCTCTATATCATTATGCAAGTAAAAAACACTGCACTTACTCATGCTTTATACATTTCAAATTCATCATATAAATCACTGATGGATTCAACAGATGTTATCAACAGGAACAGAGCTGTCACCAGCTTCTATGTCCATGAACCTCAACTTTGATTGAAAAAGTGAAGCAAGCCCAAAACATCAGCTCCTCCATGTCCACGGGCAATAATGACTGGTTCAAATTGGAAACTAAGCAATAGCCTTTCTAGTGAGTACCTTGGTGATTATTAATGCAACCTTCCAAGTGAAAATAACATGACTGCAGGAAGCAGATTATGAATGAAACCTTTATGCTTTATATCTGAAATCAACAAATTAATGTCATCTTTAAGTCAGAACATTAATTAGGTAAGCATCTAGCAGCTGTTGGCAGACAAACCCAGACATAAATGTATTCCATGATTTGTAGATTTTTTTATGTGTCTAACAGAGAAGAGCTTTCAGAACAACATGGACTATTTTCTTCCCAGAAATAAGTGTTCCTTAGAAAAACCACCAAGTTTGAGCCATTTTGAAATTTATCTTGATTCTTTCGGGATGCTAATAAATTGAATTTGAAGGTCCTGAATTTTTTTCTTAGAAAAAAACTGTTGAAATCTTAACATTTTATTTAGGAACTTATACCAGAGATACAATCAACCAAAAATTATTGGCTAGGGAAGGCTAGTAATGAAATGAGTTTTTAAAAGCTGGAGTGTTATAATGTCTATGCAAAGAGTACCTAGATCACAGTATGAAATGGTAGGCTTGATCTTTCTCATCATTAGGTTTTTCACCAATATGTTTGTGCACCTATAAAGTGCTTAAAATTTTGACCTTGAATTACAGTTATTTGTGTACATGTTTACTTTTTATGTGCCATGGTAAACTCCTTGAAAGAATGAGCCACATCTTTGAAATTTCCTAGAACTGCCTAGGGTTCTTAACATAGTACTTTTTAGCAGTTATATTTACAGTAAAAGCACTCATTCAACATTTATTAGGCATGTGCTATGCATAAAGATACATTGACAAATAAGACAGAGACTGCCCCAAACCTCATGGAGCTGACTTTGTATTGAAACAGGAGAAAGGAGTATAAAAATAGAGATAATATCAAAGACAGATGTTTATGATCTAATTGATGTTAAGAGGGAAAGAAAAAGGTATATTACCAAGGGGAATGCACTTAGGATCCCTTTAGATAGATTTAATGTTATATTTAGGGAAGGTGGTCAAATAAGACCTTCCTGATGAGGTACTATTTACATACAAACTAATCTTTGAGAATAAAATGTGAAAATGCCATGGTGTCAGGAACTAAAATTTTCCAGACAGTGCAAGTGCAGAAGCTGGATGTAGGAAAGAGCTTAAAGCATTCTAGGAAGAGATAAGGGTCTGAGGTGGTTGGAGCTTCGTGAATGTTGAAGCAAATTGTGTCAGAGCTTGAAAAATGTAGGACCATCAATCATAAGGAAGTAGAATCATTATATGAATAAATTCAGAAGGGCTGTATATTTTATGAAGATTATGCTAGCTTATGCATATATATTACATATTTTTATAAAGATTAAGAAAAATAATAGAAAAAGGCAAGATTCAAAACACAGAGACCAGTTTAGAGAGGCTAACAGAAGTCCATAAGAGAAAAGAGTGACTTGGTTCAGGTGAGACCATAAAGATACAATGATATTCAGAGTAGAATCTGCAGGATTTGTGATGGGTTACATCAGGGGGTATGAAAACTAAAAACGTCAAAGACCCTTTTTCTATTGGTGTTTTATACAAGAAAATGCACAAGCTGTGATATTAATAGGATGGAGAGAGGAAAACCATGAGTTGTGTTTTGCATGATTTAAGTTTTGATCATTAGAATATTATATGGAAGTCTCAGGTATGCACCACTGAGAATCAGCATGTGTGTAAATGACACTAAGTTCACCGCTGGAAGTACAGTTCTACCTTTCATCATACCACTGGCCCCTTTAACTGGTGTACACATTTCCATCTTCCTTTCTCTTCAGCTAACTACTGATGAATCTTAGAGTCCAAAAGGTTATATTTTTTTTTTTAGTTCATCTGTTTGTTGTTTGTTTTCTTTATACCACATATAATTGAAAGCATACTCTGTTTGTCTTTCTCTGTCTGGCTGATTCCACAAATATAATACCCTCTAGGCCCATGTGGAAGGTTGTTGCTAATAGCAGAATTCCAGCTTTTATTATTCCTGAATAGTATTGCATTGTGTATGTCATATAAAAAGAAAACAATAGAAGCAATAAAAAATATAGACATTTATACCCAACTATATATTTCACCCCAAATAGGTAGGTGAAAAAAAAAATAGGTAATTTTGTCTGGATTTTTTTAACAACAGATTTAAAATATCAGTCTATGTGGTGTTGCTAAGGGGGCTACAATAAAACCTCATTGTGTTATTTTTACCAGGAGTTTGGATGACACCCCAACTCATCATCATCAGTTCTACAACAGTGGAATTATATTGGAGTCTCCCTGAAAAACCCCGTGGCCTCTTTGCTCAACATAAGTTGAGTAGTAAAGGAACCTCAGTTTTCCTGCAAGGCAGTGAGAAGCGGAACTTCACTGATAAAACCCTCTTGCCCAACAGCCGGTAAACTCAAAGAAAACCTTTCCAATCATAGCATTAGATACTTTGGGGGTGAAAAGGAGTGCTTCTTCAGCTGACATAATAGTGAATAAATTGGTTTGTGCATTCATTCATGAGCCATTCCTTTGCTGATGAGTCCTTTTAATCCATTTGAGACTAAATAATTACATTAGTCTTCAGAATACATGAAATTCCTTTAACATTTGAATAGTTGATTTTCTGTTTGACATGAAATGTGAGAATTTTTAAACATATAAAGCAGACAGAGTATCTAGCTTTGAAAAAGTGATCAAATTATTTTCAAAAACATGCATCTCTAAACTAGCAATAAAAGAGATTTAAAGAGTTTTGTTTAACATCAGCTACCTTTGTGTCTGGTATAATGTTTTCTCTATTTGCCTCACTATATATAGACATGAGTGGTTTTAGGGGAAAAAGTTTCCCATATTTGCAATTCATTCCCATTCATTTCTCAGCAGAGACAAAATACATTTTAGATCAACAGATGTTTTATTGCAGAGAGCAGAGATCAATTTAGTTTTATTGTACAGAGTAGCAGATCAATTTAGAAACATCTTCCTCTAAACATATTGTCCTGAACTCCAACCTATTTAAAAATGGAGATTCATTTGAACCCTCCACTCCACAATCCACCAGCAGCCTCCAAGACTTTCCAACAATCTTCAAGAAAAGCTACAAACTGTGTTAAAATTAAAATGAGACAGCTCAGAAACTGACTTAAGCAAATATTGCTTGTGCCTGTAAATCTACTAGTTTGGGGCAAAGCTTCTGAGCAGAGAGTTCAGATTTTAAACTTGTCACAAATGTGGGACTAAGAAATGAATAGAAAAATGATTGTTCAAGTCTGTGCTTTGACTTACCATGATTGTTCCTTTTGAACTATAGATACATTTGCAAGTTAGAGGCCACAACTGGAGGTGGTAGCGGCCCCAGTGATGGTTATATTGTGGAAAAAATTCTTCACCTCCCTGAAGAAATCCAGCCTCCATATAATATCACAGTAATTGGACCTTACTCCATATTTGTAGCTTGGAACTCCTCAGGTAAAGAAATAAATGCAGGTGTGAGTGTGTGTGCGTACATGTGTATGTGTGAAATATCTTAGAGGAGATTCATTAGAGATACAGTAAGAAATATGAATTTAGTAAACCAGGTCATACTCTTATCTCCTGGATAAAGATAAACAAAATTATCCAAACCCATTCCTGGGTGTATAATGCCTAATTATGTGCATTCAGTCATATAGACAGATGCAGTGTAGCTGTAGAGTGATGTAGATAAAGCTAGATAGATAAGTGTATACTTCTCTATCACAATACTTTCTTCCAAGGAGCAGAGCCTTAAAACCTTTCTTCTCATTGATTAGATCCAAGATAAGTCCTATGTATCTCAATGACCTTGAACATTTATTTCCATAGTGCTCCCTTGATTGAATCATCGGCCTGTATCATCCCTTCTGTATTATGTCAGTGAATGGGGGTGCTCAGAAGGAAGACAGTCCACTCTGCCATGAGCCTTGTGTTGAGACTGATTTGAGAGCTGAACTTTGCTTGTTTAAGCTTAATTCACTGGAGGCTCATAAGCTTCCATTGGGCCATTTTGTTTTTGGGTTGTTTTTGTGCTATAGTGCATTCTTATAGTTTGATGCCAGCATCATGCTCAGGTAAAATTCTGATTGCATTAACACTGTGTAGTGAAATTTGCTTGCTCTGTCTTTTAAAGTAAGGGCCATATACAAATAGAACTTGTTTCATTAATGTTTAATCCTGATAAAGATGCCAAACACCCTTCAGAAATACAATTTTATTTTATGTAATCTTAAAATGAAATAGAAATAAACTGTTATCCCTATCAGAATAAGTTTGGCCACAGTTCAAAGAAATACTGAAAGTAATTGGATAATTACTATTTTAGACCATCAACCCAGGTAATATAGTCATAAGGATAATTCAGAGGTCTAATATCTAAAACCTGAGTTCTCATAAACCATCATCCGCCTGATGTCATAATCTAAGATCAAAGTCAAAAGCATCTTGGTCAGAGAAGAAAACCTCTCGAGAGCTTGAAAAGCAAAAAAAAAAAAAAATTGCTCTAAGATATTTAATATAAATTATTTAATGCATCTTTGCTTCAAAATAAGTATACAACATCTTAAATTTGACAAAGATACATTGCTAGTGTGGCATGTATCTCAAAGTGCTGCCACTTTCTTCTAGATTTTAGGAATATTCTCGCACACTCTCCATTCTATCAATAGCGAAAACGCAGTTCTGCTCTGGGGCACATGTTCAAACTACGTGTGCCCTCAATCACTGATTTCCACTCTTATGAAATAACCTTGTTATCTTGTGACCTCTTAGCAGATTTCTCCTTGGCATGCGTTTAGTGTTATAGTCTTTTTGCTCCACAAAGTAAAATGAGGCAAAACAGAGTCATTCTGAAACCAGTTTCAGCCTATTGACTGGAGATTTCTCAGACTCAGCTCAAGGTCTTCAGCAATCAAGATTCCCTAATAATAATAGTAAGGGAAAATCCAGAATCATCAGCATTACTGATTTCATAACCACGTGACCAGAAAGTTCTGAGGTTCATCAAACTACTTGTCATTTTAATATTACTACAGCCACAGATTTTCACTGCTGACATGGAGACTTCACATGCAATAAGGATTTGAAAACCTTTCTAAGACAACCAAAGTAACATGAGAATCCCAGGCTTCTGCTCCCAGTAGTACCACATATTAGCTCAGCTTTTCCCACTGAGTCTTGGTTTTCTCCATCTGTAAAATGGAGATGATGATAGAATCCGCATGAAGGATTGTTGGACAGATAAAATGAAGTCATTTATGTAATGGGCACCCATTATCTGGTTCCTGTATGATTGTCTGTAGCTAGTGATGGCTAGTAGGGGATTGTTACTTGTGCCTTTAATTATTCATTTGACAATGTATTTGCTCAAGCATTTGCTAGATCCCAGGCTTCCCAATTTCAAAACGATAAAATGTGTACTGCAAGAGTGCGTTACTCAATTTTTAAGATTTCTTTCAAGTTGCCCATCATTTTGTCACCTTTTCATTGAACACCATTACATTTGCTGTGTTCCATGGACAACATTTCCATTTAGTGAGGAATCTTTGTGGAATAAAACACAACTTTCACTTTTTTTAATGTGTACTTTTCTATTATTCAGTTTTTATAGAAATTCTTTATTGTAGCACAGTGTAGGGGGATATCACAGAAATATTTCACACACTAACTCTGACCACGTAACCAATGGTTAATAAACCTATAATACCCAGACCTGTCAATCTTTTAGTTTCAGATGCACAAAATCCATTACAGAAACCCTGTAATATGTGAAAAGATTAAAATCTTAAATTAAACTTTTTTCTGGTGCCTGGAAGGATTTTGAACTCAGTAAGCACGCAGATGATTTTGACTTGTGTATAATCTACAGTTGATTTTATTGGAAAGTACCTCATGCTGTGTTTTGATTTGGATAATAAAAACATTTTTCTGCTCCTGAATAGTCACAAATATATATTTTAAACAGAAAGAAAACAAACTTGTAATAACTGGAGATTGTTTATTTTCTCACAAGCCAGAGCTTTCTAGTATTTGTGCCACCTCCATGCCATCATGAAATGATTGCATCGCAGCCGTTGCCAGACCTGCATGAACAGTAGAATCGCTGGGAATCGTATATGCAGATTCTCAGCCCTATGTTTACTGAAGACAAATCCCTGGAGTGGAGCCAAGGGATCTAGATCTTTTTTAAAGTTCCCCAATGACCTGGATGTTGTCCCAACCCAGCCACCAAGGGTCACAGCACACCAAGCAAAACAGGTTAATTATCATAATCCTCCAAAAACATGACTCAGGCCACTTTTCTGGAACGTCCAATGCCCAAACAGCTGATTTCTTCACATGTAATTGGTCTCGTGGTCAGTTTGGACAGTGACTTTACACAGTTAAATGGCAGGAAAGGAAAAAGTCTGTGTGGTTACTTGGCAACAAATAGTTCCCTAGGCAATTAACTGGGCTTTCAGTTTTCGGATTATTATTTCATTGCTCTACGTGAATTGTATTATTATATCCTACAAGCATAAATGGCCTCACTATATCTACGAGTCTGTGAATCCTATTAGTAAAGAGAGTGAGATCTAAAGAGTAAGTAGGGATATTCAAAGGAGGAGTGATTGTGATAGTGAGATCAAAATGCATTGCTATTACTTGTCATATTTGCCTTTTTTATTATACAATATGACTCTATTTATACAATAATCTCAAAATGTCTATTTATGTCTATTTTCTATCGTGTCTCATCTCTATTGGTTGTTGCTTTGGATATTCAAGTGCTGGAGGAGGGACGGTAGTTGTCTGTTTTTATTTGCCATTTGTATTCCTAGTATGTACCAAACACTTTGATAAGCGCTTTTCTTTCTTACTTCAGTTAATTCTCATGCAAACCCTGAGAGACAAGTAATATCATTATCCCTATATTAAAATCAGAAATTTGAATCTCAAAGAAGTACCATAATATACTCAAGGTCACAGAGCAGAGTCAAGATTCACATTCAGGCCTATTCTCTGCACTGCCTTCAAAGAACAGTTCCTTCCTGTCTTTGACTCAATACTTAAATCCAAGTCAAACTTTTTATTTATTATCCAAAATCTTGGACTTAGGATAGAGCAACTATGATTTGTGAAATTGTAGTCCAGACAGCCTAGAAAGCAGTGCTAAGTATCAGCAAAACCAAATGATTGTGGATGGGAGAATAATGATATTTACTGGCCCTGTCAAGACCAGAATTAATTGTGGAAATGGTGCCCCCTGAAGGGGATGTGCCCACCAGGCAATGGTCATCCCCTACAGCGTGAGGGAATGAATCATCAGAAGGCTTTACCTACCAACCCAAAGTCCAGGTGAACAGACATGACTCAGCGAGAACTGATCCCAGGTGCAGGAAGATCTTAATTAGGTGGGAGAGGGAAAGCATCATTTCTCAAACACCTACAGAGATTCAAAAACAAATTTAAACCTTTAAGTAGCCATTCTCTCAACTCCCGGGTAAATGTTGGTTCACTTTATATCATTACTTTATAAATGTCTGTGGTAACATTATAAAAACACTCCCAAGTTTTATACATTTTCATAAGATGGGGGCCTCCCTGGTGGCCTCGTGGTTAAGTCTCAGTGCTGTCACCACCACAGCCTGAGTTTGATCCCCAGCCAGGAAGCTGACCCTCATATATAGCACGGCAGACCTCTCCTCTCCTGTCGCACCTGCTGCTCTCCTCAGTTTATTTCAGTAAAATCTACTTGATGTGCTCCTCTTCTGTCTCCTGTGCTTCTCTTCTCTTACCCCCTGCACCTCTGGTTTACACCCTACCTTTTCTATGCAAAAATAAATTTAAAATTTTATTTAAAAAAGATTTTTGTGAGATGCACTCCTTTGTATATCATTTACACCTCCAGGTCAGATGATTTGCAAACTACATAACCTCGTAAAACATTGAGCTAATAGAGAAACAAAATAATAAGCTTCTAAATTTCTCATTCAGGAAAACATAAGTCAGTTTTGGATTCTCAGCTGTTTAAAATGATTCCGACATTTGAGTTGCCCCACACTGACTCAGACTCACACACATATTCAGACACATGCCCACACACAAAGGCAAATGCATGTTCCTTTTTGAAAGACAAAAGCAGAACACATACACTTCCTTTCCAGTGCCCCCATGTTGTCTTCTGGGGGTTACTTTCTTCACATGGTTTAGAAAAGGAAATACTGGTTTCTTGGGGAATGGCTGCACTATTTTAGCTTCCTCGTGCCCTTTGGCCTTTTGCTCCCTGTCTCTGAACTTCAGGCTTCTCATCTGTGAAAGCAATATTAAATGCGCACCTCGTACTATCGTTATGTGAAGTCGGGAGACAACCTTGTAAAACATTTAGTGGACACTGGGTAGATGCTGGCCATTATTCTTCAGATTTACAGACAACATAAACCAGGTTTGTTTATTCCTAAGCATTTCTTCTCACC